ATCCTGATGACATTCTCCTTTTAGGCTCCCATCAGAATTAAGAGAAACAATCCCCAATTGAATTTCTTATTTTTGGGCAGACGTCAACTCACAAGCTTGGAGCAGCCCTTGTAACACTAAGCCCTGGTTCTGACTTGGACAGTGCAACACCAAGAAGCATTTAGAGAAAGAGTTGGCATTGGTGTATCTATCACTAGCATTTTCTCTGCAACTTTTCCATTTTCTCTGTGATCATCTTTATCCTGAAAGAAATTCATATATCATGGCAACTTCTGATTGCATGTGGAAAGCTGCCTTTTCCTTTGATCTGATTGTGAAACAGATTAGGGCAGATTATGTAGGTTTGTTACACATCTTTGAATTCTGAGATTATCAACATGCTGCCTCCTGTCATTTCTAATCACAATGAGAGCAGAGATTTTTAATCAACCAAGGCAGTGTATATATATTTTTTAAATCTGAGTTCTGAAAAATTGTAGTGTATCAACAGAGTTCAATTACCTTTTCATTTAACCCTCCGAGGTTAAACTGAATGAAAGCCAGTTTGAGTTCAACTGAGATCTCAGATGCATGATAAGCTGCTAAACGGAAGCTGTTTTCAGCTGCTTTTGTGGATGTCAGCCTCTACACAGTCTACTAAACTATTTATGTATACTAGAACTATTTGGGTTTCTAGCATCTTTTTCCTCACCAGGTAAAGAGCAAGCAGTGTGACAACAATGCCTTATGACAGCAATTATTGAAGGCAAACATGGCATTATACCTGGAGCATCAATTAGTAGCCATATTGACCAAGACAGATCTCAGCTCTCATATATTTAAAATGCTTGCCTTTCAAGGGTAAATGCTTCATTCAGTTTATTTTGAATATTGGAAACCTGGCATCTCCATTCTAAGCACATGGATTGGAAAGAAATGATTACATTGGGTTTTGTAAATTACTTGCATGATTAGTTCAAATGTGTAAAAACCTAGTGTTGGAGACAGACATACTTAAAACAAGCCTAATAAAGGAACTGAATTTAAATTAGCTGAAGAAAAATGAAATCTGAATTATTTCAGTGAATCTAAGGGAAAGAATATGGGGGTTTGTTCCCTATCAGACTAAATACAGTTGCTTATGTCTACAGTAGAAACTACAATCCAAATTAGGATAGTGGCAGCAGACAAAAACTTAAAGGCCCCCAGCCCCCAATCTATTTTGGTGTGTTTTTAAAGCAACCTTGAGCCTGAAATTTTAAAATGTGTAGTCCTAAGAGTTCCTAACACTCGTAGCAGCTGCTTTTTCCTCTCCAAATGGTTCCCAAAGGTTTTGCCTCCCCAGATAAGATTTAAAATCAGTGTTTATCACTGTATCTTCTAAGACATAATTTTTGAATCCCAGCAACATTAAGATGTATGGACTTCCCAGTTTTAAGTCCACACATTTTAAAACCGCTGAGATTGAAAAAAACAAACCATTCTAAGACGCTCAACAGAACTTTGAGAAGATCATATTTGACAGATTTGGGCATATTTCTTTTGCCTGACACTAAGATGCAAAACTTCACTTTCCTAAGGTTGCATTCCATGGAAAGAGCTGCCTATTGAAGAATTGAAGTTCACTCCAAACGTACCCATTTGAATGTTAAGGGGTGTGAGCTCAACCATTCCTGTTGACAATTTATTGAAATCAATGGCAAAAGGGTTTAATGTTTATCTCTCCTGCTTCATAAGGCCCCTGGCAATCAACTCAAAATGCAATGAGCTGATTCCAAGCTCAGTAAATCTTATGGCTGATTTATAGATTCATATCTGAGTTGAAAATAAGTCATAATGAAGAATTCCTCTCTCTCCATAATCATACAACATATATACTTATCCATCTAGCACAATGGGATGAGATACCTATTTATGGCATCTTGGAAAAAAGTTGTCTAACCTTCAGAACATACTCTAGACCATAATTTTAAGCTTTAAAAGATGAAGCTAAAATTCCTAGTGATTTTTCAATATTAAAAATGGTTGAACTAATGACTTTTGACAGTGCTAGATGATTTTAAAAAAAGACAAAGCCTTCCTGAAAATAAAAGAAAGTCTGAATAGAGAGAACGAGAGACACAGCAGCAAAAAACAACAGCAATGTGTTACCTTTACAATTTCTAATACAAAATTTTTGCATTGCTCTGTAAAACAGCTAATATGAGTGCCTCCAGATCAAGGAAATATAACAATAAATAGACAGTAGAAAGTAATGGGTTTAGGCTCATGATCAGAGAAGCAGTTCTTGATGGTGTAGCTGGAGGATTTTTCAGAACACAACTTGCAGCATCTGTGATCTGGTGGTTCCAATTTAGGGGTGGGGAAAAATATCTTATGGCAGCAGCTCTTCTCCAAAATATGAGAAGCCTTTAAATTCTTCTTGGTTGATTTGCTTTATAATTGTCTCATCCACTTGTGTTAATATTGGGTCTTCTCGTGTAAAGTCTTGATCAAAGTTATTTACATCCCTTTTGGTTTTCTGAGAAACAAAAGCAAAAGATGAAGAATGAGTGGTGTTCTTGCACCAACAATCAACTTTTTTTTTAACTGGGATTCGAAAAGAGTGATAAAGGCTTCTAAAGCAGGGTTTGAGAATCATGGCCCTGTTATGACTTGTGAACTTCAACTCCTGGAATTCCTGAGCCAGCCATGCAAGTTATAAAAGGGCCGTGGTTTCCCACCCCCGTTCTAAAGGAAGATGGTACCATTTCATACACACAGGTCTCTTTCTCTCTCTCTCTCTCTCTCCTCCCCCCCTCTCTCACACTTCATACAGGAGAAGATGAAAAAAGAAGGTGGCCAAGTGAGGATGCAGAAGCAAAGAATGGTCCTGGATAATTAGCTTTTAATTGAGAAGTTGGAAGCAAAATGATGGTATTTATAACTTAAATTATACCACACTGCGCCAATCTGGATAAATGAATGAAGGATTCAAACAGAATTTGTCTGGAAATGGCATAATGGGTTGATTACAAATATAGGAGTGAAGCATATGATCCCAATTATTGATGGTGAATATGACATGAGATAAGCAAAATCTCACAAATTCACAGTTTTTTTGCACCTTTAGGATCTAGCAGTGATTGTTTTTCACAGACAGAACTTTCACAACTGTGTGTGGAAGATCCACCACCTACAGTCCTGATATGCCTAGTGCTAATTTTGACCATGATGGAAGCTATTCTGAACATATCAGTAAAATTGGCATACAGTCAGTGATTGTATCTCTTTAGTATGCTTACTACAATGCAGTTTCTCTAAATTTTATGATAATAAATGAACCTTCAATGAAGTGCTTCCTGTTCCAGATTTGTTGTTCCACAGGAGAAACTTACCTCTTGAAACATCTTTAGTTCAGTGGTTTCTAAAACATAAGTTTTCAGAGAATGACACAAACTCCCAATGTACTCTTCACAATGTTTACCTTAACTTGACAGAGACTCAAAATATCTACATACAAGAGTCATGATGGCTCAGTGGTTAGAATGTAGTATTGCAGGATAACTCTGTCCACAGCCAGGAGTTTGATCCTGACTGGCTCAAGGTTGACTCAGTCTTCCATCCTTCCGAGCTCAGTAAAATAGAACCCAGATTGTTGGGGGCAATATGCTGACATTTGTAAACCATTTAGAGCAGGGGTGTCCAACCTTGGCAACTTTAAGACTTGTGGACTTCAACTCCCAGAATTCCTCAGCCAGCAAAGCTGGCTGAGGAATTCTGGGAGTTGAAGTCCACAAGTCTTAAAGTTGCCAAGGTTGGACACCCCTGATTTAGAGAGTGCTGTAAAGCATTATGAAGTAATATAGAAGCACACATGCTTATACTATTATTATATAACCCATCCCAGTCAAGAGTAAAATCCTAGTTGTGGCGTGAAAGGGAAAGAGATGGATACCCAATTTTCCAAATATCCCCTTCTCATTGCAGTCCCTTTGCTACACCTTTAAAAAGCTTGTTATGAAACCACCTCTCAATTATTAATTTACTGAGTCTAGAAAATATGACAGCTAGCAGATAAATGTTTTACTCCTTCTCTTTGCTTATGAAGGCAAGCCATGGATTGTTTTCTGAAGTAGGCATGAGTTTTTGAAAGGGCCTAATAAGTTATGGCTGGATCATTACAGATATGACTTATGACAACTGAGCCTAAAATCTCTGTTGCTATGCAAGACAGTTATTAAGTGAGCGTTATCTCCATTTTATGACCTTGCCACAGTTGACTTTGCTTGTCAGGTGGTCACAAAGGGTGATAACATGACCCTGGGACACTGCAACATCATAAATACATGCAAATTGCCAAGCGTACAAATTTAAGTGCAACAACCAACCGTAAGTCACTTTTTTCAGTGCCATTGCAACTTCGAATTGTTACTAAATGAATAGTTCTAAGTTGACGACTACTTGTATATAATGTTCACCTTTTGTACGCTATAATCTCAAATGGTTTTTCTACAGTTACTGAAATAAAAAAGACATCATTTGATTAAAATCTCCCAAGCAAGAAGAAATCACAGTGTTTTCATTATAATTCAATAGAGAATTAAGCACAGAAATGTAATTACTAAAACTGGAGTGTGTAATGTTTCCAAGGAAATTCTTCCCACATAAACTTTCTTGCAACTATTAGCATTGTATATCCCACAATTTGTAGAAAAAATGAATGAATTTGCATGGACTTTGAAAGCATGTATAAAACATGCATTACCTCAGAGATCTTTGTACAACCTTCATGATAGACTTCTTCAAAATGATGCTTTTCAAATGTTTTAAAATACAATTTCTTATCTAACAACTATGGGGACATTAATTAAAAATAGGGAAGGTACCATTACAGTATTTATGTCTACAATATATATCCCATAATTTTTTGTTGTTGAAAACCATCACATGTTAAGAGAGACTACTCTGGGCACTGAATTTGGAGAACCCAGAGGATTTTTTTTACCCCACTGCAAATTTCCAATGTTTCCCTGTGTTCTTCCAGTATTCTTAAAAAAACAGATTTTCATAACTTTGAGGAAAACTGTAGTGCCAGAAGGTTAAATAAGATCATGCTGTTCTAGCTCACAACTACAAGATAAATTTGTGATGCACTCAGTGCAATCTTGCCTTTTCATACTTCTTGCCCTGTTTCATATTCGTAGTTGATTCAGAACAACCAGTCAACTGCAGCAAAGTTCTTTTTCCTATTGTGTTCCACATATTTTACATCTATTGCATTTTTGTTTTATACCTATAGTGCAACTGCATAAACTAAAAAGACATATATTAAGTCCTCTGCCTTGAGGGAGGAGCATAACTTCAATCCATACCTCAACACTGTCTTTACTCAAGTTTGCACCTTGTTGCTTGCTTTCCCTTGAAAATGTTCTACTTCTTTCTTATAAAAGTGCCCCCAGCCTCTGTCTGCAGCTTCTGATTTCAGAAAGCAGACATAGGGTCTCACCTAGCTTTTGGTTTCAATTGAATAGTCCTTAAATCTATTGGATATCTGGATTTGTTTTGGGCTGTGCCTACCAAAAAGCTGTAGTAATATTGGTGATTTTGAGGCTTTGGCCACTCTTTCTGAAACAAACTATAACTGTACTTCATTTGTGAGACATTATTTTACTGTGTGTTAAATAGAGTAAGTTATCCCAGACTTGAGAACTAAAGAAGACTTATAAGAAGCAAGAAAAAAAGATGAGATTAATGATACATCCAAGGTGAGACAGGAACTTATGGGGAAATCTAAAGCTAAGAGTTAAGAGAAAAGAGAAGAAAAAGAAAAATGCTGTTCAAAAAGGAGCTGTATCAGGTAACCATCATGAAAGTCTCACTTAATTGGATTTGGAATATTTCTAGTAAATGAAGTCACATAAAGTAAAAAAAAAAAAAAAATTTTTTTTCTGAAACTGACCCATTTATTTGCTGCTCATAATGATTTATTTTAAAACACTGCCACTGACATTATTCATAAAATTTTGCAAGATCAGATAAAATAGCACTATTCTGAACTACAAGGCTAAGATACATAATAATATACAGAAAGCATATACAGAACAGATTTTGTTCTTTCTTTTGCAAAAGGCAGGAGATGACTCAAACACTATGAAGTGAGAAACTGAGCATGGAGACAGCGTGGAGTGGATAAATGGGAAAGGTTAAGTACTGGCATACACAACCATCCTTCATAAAGTCATGTACTAAGGGGAAAAAAATGGGACAGCCAAAACCAAATTGGCTAATAATTCTTTTTCTTTATAAAATGTGCACAAAATTAACTCTGGCGCTAACTTGATTTCCTTGCCATTTATAATATTGTATTTTATAGAAGTATATTTAGTATGGTAATGTCCATTTTTTTCTCTAAGGAGTTCAAGGCAATGTAGGTGGTATAGTAGCGCTTACGCTTCTCAAGTTCATTTGCTTGATTTAGGCAGAGAATTGCTCTTTTAAAATGACAATTCACTATTTTTCTTCTTTGAGTTGAACTCAACTCTTGGTAACTTCATGGACGTATCCTTATAAGTCTTCCCTGCAACAACATTCAGATGATTGCTATTCTTGGATAGCGTGGTTTTTTTTTTAAAAACTTCCCAGTCTAACCTACAGCCAAGGAATCTTCTAGTGGTCTCTCCTGTGGGTACTAACCACATTGGTCCTTCTTAATATTTCAAGAATAATCAAGATTGACTAGATGCTGCCACCTCGCTGGGCATGTCCCTGATTATTGTAAAATATGTATAACCTACATGTTATATTTCCTAGACCCATATCAGCTTTGAAGAAATTAGATCTTCATGTAAGCTGCATTGAGCTCCTAGAGGAAAGGTATGATATATATCTAACATATATAAGAGCCTGTTTTGTCTCACCTGTGGCCACGAGGTGAGAGTCCAAATGTCCAAAGGAAAATATACAAACAGAAAAGACCAGGAACAACAGAGTTAACTTTCCTTTGTCTGAATTCCTCATTGGCAGTTTTCCCAGAAGCTGTCAGCCAATTATGATAACGAGCAGCACTATAAATCAGAGATGAATTCCAAAACATGAATTGTCCAACTGCAATGCAAATCAACAAGTTGATCCGAACAGGGCTTCAGAGCTAACACGCCTCCTTATATTTCCTGAAGGGGCGTGTCAGTCTCTTACTCAGTCCCTGATTCGACGTCTCCTTCCAGTTTGTGCTTGACGTTTCTGCTTATGTCTGTTCCTTGCATCAAACCAAGATTCCTCGGTTTGATCTTCCTCCAAGGGCTCTGGCACGTTCTCCTGATTATCTGCCAACACAGGTGTAACTAATGAGGAAGGTCTGGGAGAGGATGAGGATTCCGAAACTTCCAGCAAAGCAGGTTCAAACCCCAATGCCTATCTTCCTCCTCCTCCTGACTCCCATTTGTGTCACTCAACAAGGCAGGCTCAAACCTTAATGCCAGATCTTCCTCATCACTCGAGCCTATGTCTTCTGACAGAGCAGGTTCAAACCTCCTAGTCACA